TGTCATATTTTCTTCTTTTTTTTATTTCTTACTATTTATTATTTTAACTGTTCTTACAAGCACATAGCGTTTGCCGCCCTGCTTAACTGGTTTTCAATAAATAAATAAATAAATTAAGGATGGTTACTGAGAACGTCGAGTAACTTCCTACTGGCTTGTTATCTCTTTTAATAATAATATTCGTTCTAATATAAAAAAGCCAATCAGCCTATGAACTTAATGAAATTATGGACAATCTTGTTGTCCATTTGATGCAATTTAACCAATCAAATGTCATTAGACTCAAGTGCTAAAAGTGCGATACTAGAAATCAGTTATATGGTTCCATTTATAAATCATATCGAAGATTTAACCTGTTTGAATTGTTCAGAAATTATTTCTAGTGCCAGAGGATCACGATAAAGTTTGTAGATCGATTTCTGCAAGCATAAGTAATAGGTCTTATTGATTCGATGGTCCATTTAAAGAGGGAAATATATTCTTTGCAAATTTTGTTAATATACAGTGTCCAACAAAATATTGTATGTTACTATAACCATGGGTATGATTTTATTAATGGCCTCTTGAAATAAAACCAGTACCACTAAAACACTACTCTGTTACCATTTTTGTTAAGTGAGAATTAATTTCCACATTGTTTGTTTCGTCCATCGATGTTCCAATAATAATATCCATCTTTTCGAATAATATATATATATATATATATATATAATAAAATATTTCCTGATTCTATTCAACTAATCGACTTACTGCCATATATGTTATCAGTAAACTAAGTTATTAAGTAGATTTAACTTATGAGTGAAGTTAAAATGTGGCATATTAAAAAAATCGAAAGAATATTAATGAAGAATTTTTTGAAAATACTATTATAACTATACTAATACTACTATTATACTAATATAATTATACTAATACTACTATTTTTGAAAATACTATTAATACTATTATCAGCATTAAAATTATGGACAAAAACTTGTTGAACATCAGGATTATTATAAAGTATCAATTTGAAATATATTTATTAAATTTAAAAAGATTAAAATCGAGATTCTTATAATTTCTGGCTAATGCAGTAATTTTGCTATATTCTCCTGCTTCATCTTTGCAACCAATCGGTTATTTTTTATTTTACTGCATAACAAGGAAATTAAATGTGATTGTTTAAGAATTTTTAAAAAATTTCTTTGCTACAGTGACAATAATTCAATTCATTTCCATGGAAACAGAATGTTTCAAAATATTTTCGTAGAAATCAGAAGCATCAAATTGAATTATAGAATAAAGAAAATAAAAAAGATGAATTATAGAATAAAGAAAATTTAAAAAAAATAAAAATTAGAAAGTGGAGTACATTAAAGTTCGAAATTTTTCGCTTAAACAAAAATACCTTCCGAAAAAATATTAATATTGTAATTATGATTAGGTCCAAAAAATTATCCATTTATCATCCAATTATTATCCATTTCCTATTTTTGATTTCCAGTCCATGAAAATTCTCATCCTTAATTTGTTTCATGTGGAGCCAATAAGTTTTTTGTAGCCAATTCAGCTGATGAATGACATACTAACGCCTTTTTTTAAATTGATAATTAGCTCCAAAAAAGGATAATTTAAAAGCGAATAAAAGCGCAAAAAAAAATTGTTCTGCGAATCTCCTTTCTGAAGATTTAAAAAATTTAAAGATTTAAAAAATAAGTGGGTTTAGCAAAATTCGCATAAGCACAATCGTAAAAATTATTTAAATGAATTGAATTATTGCCATATATTTAAGATTATTTATTTAAGATTGCTACGGATCCAGTCCAGAATTTCTTTAATGCTAAATAAATAAGAAGAAATGAAATATCAATTATCATTAAGATTTCTAAGCCACGCAGTGACTAACGGCATAGGTTCACACAATTTTAAGTTATTTGCTAAAAGTATTAGTCGAAGAAATTGTATTTTATTTCGAAGAAACCTTTCAATGAAAAGTATTTTATATTTTCTTTATAGTTATTCAAAAACTACGATTTTCCTTGTGCCAATTTTTTTCAAAATATAAATCCAATCTAATTCGATTGAATGTTCGGCGAAGATTTCCAGAATATTCACTGATTATTATTACTTCAGATTCTGCAAATTCCAAATTTACATTTTGATTTCGATTTATTGGTGGGTTATCAATATAGTTAATAAGAGATTCTATGCAAATAAAATTCATTAAATTGATTCATTCATTAAATAAATTGAATCAAATTCAAAACTAGAACGTATTTCTTTTTTGAAAATGCATTATAGAATGTTTTCATCGGCAAAATAAAATATTGCAGTTGATTTGAAAAGAAAAATTTGTAAACCATTCGAATTATATTTGAGAATTTCATCTGTGCTAATTTACTGCAAATTATGATTTTGGCTCGCAAATTTTTTGTTTGATTTTAGATTGCTTATATAATTTATTTTCATGAGATTCTTTAGCAAACTGAAATTTATTTAAAATTTAAAATTTAGAAAAAAATAAAAAAATGAGCTCATTGCATTTTTTCTCACTTCATTTAAGTGTTTTTTCCCCATTTTTTTTCGCAATTGGCGACAATCGTTTTATCATCTTTCTTTCTTCAAATAACACATTCTTCAATTATATTATAGTTGGATAAATGAGACGATTAAACTCGAGTGCTACAAAAAAAGTAATCTTAAATGCAAGTTTTTTATGCTAATTAACAACTAATTAGATTCAATAGGTGCTTATTTCGAAATAAAATAGTAATAAAAAAATAATAATCGAAATTAAATCGAAATTTTTGATGACCAGATATTCACGCCAAGAACACCGCTTCAAATATTAGCTTCGACGGTTTTGCAGAGAAGATCAATCGCTTTATAAAGGTATTTTATCAGCGCATATGGGAAAGTGACAGATCCTTTCGAAATAAGAACTGATGTCGCAACTGCATTCTTTCTCCTACAATATTCAACTATGTGATAGACTGGATAATATACACCGCTTGTCACCACTCAAGAGATACACAAATTAGTCAAGAGCACCATATCATATCACAGATCTTGAATATGCTTATGATGTAGTCCATTTTGACATTATGACGATATGCAAATAATGCTAAATAATGTGCAGGGAGAGCTTAAGCCCTTTTCGTCTTCTATACAAGATGGCGATGAACCTTTTTTTGTGAATTCATTGCCGATTGCTCGACTTTCAATACCCTTAGATCCACTTTAATTCCAAATGGTCAGGTAAAAGACGAAATTACAACTCGGATGACGGTAGCTATAAATGCGTTCTTCCAGTTAAAGAAAGAGTCATCTTTATAGCTCTTATATATGGTTCTTATATCTTTATAGAAAGAGTCCTTTATAGAGCCATCGCGAAATCACCATAAAAACGAATCCAAGTCCATACTGTTCGCTTTCATTTATACAACGCATGGCCAATGAGAGTGGAGGATTTTAAGAAGACATCTGCCTTTGACTACTCTTGACAACATAGATTTTACCGATTCACCAAGTGAATCTCACATGATTGCATCCATCTTTGCCGAAATACCACGTGCATTATTACCATCACAGAGCGTCGCCTTCGCTGGTTAGGGTGCTTCTTCGTTGTCCACCACAGGAGTTGGCACATATTTCTTTTCTTGCTAAGCATTATTATGGATGGTGTAAAAAGCGAGAAGTATTGATCAAGACCTGAGATGATACAAGAAAGATATTGACAATCAGGAAGGATATTGAATTTCTAGAGAGACCAGCGACATATAGGTTTAAACGATGGAAAAAAGAATGGCTTCTATTACTGTTAACGATTTTTTTTTGAAAAGTCCTCAGCATTACTGGTAAAACTCGCTCTACTGGCTTGTCGTAATTGGACAATATGCCAAGGAGTCCCATGGCGATAGAAATACAGGTGAGTCGTCAGCATCACCCGGATTTTTTTGCTGGTTTACTTCTGAGGGGAATCGAACCTCAGAGTTGGCGCTCCCAATTGAGCAACAACCCACTGAACCATTCTATCCCCTATAGCGTCGATAGCTGACTACTGTCGACGATAGCGTCACAAAACTTGGAATTGTCTTATGCTTGTAGCCAGCGGAGCCAGCCTAACCAGTAATGGTGAGAGGAAGAACCGAAATTAAACAGCAAAGCAAAATTATAAAAGCAAATTACGACGCAAGTTTAAAAAAATAGAGGAGATTAATCGAAATGTGCACTGTTATTACTATTTACTGCATCAATTTATTGCTTAGCAGGTTAACTATCAAGAAAAAAGTTTTGCTCCAACTATAGTTTTAAGAATTGAATCTACTCGATGCTCGGCCTTGAAAAATATGGCATTATATGTCATATTGTCTCCATTTTTTATTGCTGATTTTTTTATTTTACTTTTTAATTTATATATTTATATCACACTTAAGCACTTAAAAATTTTTATTTCTATTTAAAGATTTTTGAATAAGTTCAAAAAAAATCAGCAATATTAAATAAAAAATACAAAAATATCAACTATAACGATAAGAAAAATATTTGAAGAAATTTGTGGAGAAAAATCAAATGCAACGCCTATCTTAAGAAATAATGCCAAGTTTATAAATAAATATAATAAGTCAAAATGATGGAAGTATAAATCTTTCAGAAGAATGCACAGAAATAAAAAATGCAACGAATATACAAAGATCGATGGACAAATTATAAAATATGTCGATAAAATGACCATGCCTATTCGAATTCACTTGAATTAAAAAATTTTCGCACTGCTTACGTACGGATAAGAGGGTTCGTATATGCCTCGAAACAAGTTTGGACTACTGACCTGAAATTTATCACTCAAATAAAATGAACAATTTTCAATTATCAAAGTAAAATAAAGTAAAATTGATGGGCTTATCTAACATCGTTAGAGATATCTTATCTATAACAGTAAGAAGAGGAACTATAACTTAAATGAAATTTAGGGTCGACATAATTAAAATACGAAAATACGAAAAAAGTGTGATTATTTATATGCTTACATAAGAAATAACTGAACCGCTGTCAAATGAATTTGCAACCACTTGTGGATATTTTTGCCTTTTCCGATTAATTGCATAAATTGTTATCAATGCAACAATAGCAATTATTACAGTCATAATAAATGCCAAAAGCATGATCAAAGCTAATTTATAGCTATTCATCCTGAAATTCCAATTGAATCTAGATTAAAAAAACATAAAATTTTACGAGCTTTTAATTTTTGTAATTTTTGCTATCTGTTGGCTTTCTAGATTTGTTAGTTAAGGCTAGAAAACGGCTGCAATTTTGTAACAATCTACTTATAATTTTACAACAATCAGAAAAATAACAGAATGGGAGGAACCCGAGCAAAAGCAAAAAATTTGATAAAAAGCAAGTATGTTCAACAAAATTCGGAAATTATTCAGTACTCACTGAACAAGCTGTTCAGTTTTGCAACACCCATTCGAACAGCAACCCAGTTCACAAATATACGTTATAGGATGATCGTAATCAGCAGGATTTTGATAATAACATAAAAACTGATTAGGATCTATAATTTAAAACATAGAGTTTATCAATTTGTTTAATTTATTGAAAGTTTCTGAAACCATTTTGCATCGAATGATGGTAGAAAATTTTACATAATTTTATCTAATTACCTCTTGAAATTTCCTCTTTAATCAAGTCTCCAATATTCGCCTCTATTTGTATATCAGGTGGCGATGTCCTGCAAGTTTGATCAGTCATAAAAATATCTCTTGTTTGAAAACAATTACGAAAAAGAGCTTCAAGGGGGATAACATGAAGGGGGCAGAAAACACCAAATAGAAACCAAATAGAGCGATACTGGGTTCAAAAAAGTCAATTTACAACTCCAGATTGAATCAAAACTTGGTGAAATGAAAAATTTGCAGCATGATGAACGATAACGGTGGATATGGAATTTACAATAAACATACATTGCTGCTGCCGATGCCCAGTACAATTCTTGTTGCCTGCTATTAGGTAAGCCATCCCATCGTGATTCCATCCAATTTTCCTCTATCTTAAAAATTTTTTCATTTCGATAATTTGTAAAAATTCTTCAAGAAATCTTATTTTCAGTTATAAAATTATTTGAATTACACATAAATTAATACAAAGATAATACTAAGGATCATTTGATGAACAGGAAAACTCGAAAACAACTAATGGCAACTGTTAAAGGGATTTTAAAAAATTGAACGGTTATGTGAGATCTAAAAGATATCACTAATGTATTAGGGGAAAGGACAAAATTAGAGCTGAATGAAACTCTAGAGAAGGTAACCTCTTTAGGAGGAGGCACAAACAAGGCACTAGTCCTAACTTTGTGTTGAATTTGTTGGGACATCATGAAAATAAAGGTTTGATATTTAGATACTGCACAATGTCAGATAATGAGTGAAAGAATAAATAGTACATTAATATAGTTAATTATACATTAATATAGTACATCAGTATGAATGAAAATTAGTAACCATAGGTTACTTGCCACTAATTTATTTCGCTAATAATTCTAGGAAAAATAATGATTCGTAGGAAATAATGCGGATAAATTCATGCTAAACACCCTCATTCATAAGGTATTGGAAGATGTAGCATATATAAGCAATACAAATCGCAAAACGAACTATTTAGTATCTTCGACCAATAGGCAAATGTTGACATATCATTGAATGGCTCGGCTTTTAAAGCCTCTTTAAACAAATAGAGACCATATATTTTCACGATTTTGGGAGAATTCTCGAATTTTCAATTCCATAATAAAAAAATTTTGTTTTGCAATAGTATCAAAGTAAAAATCTAGAAGCAAGAACGAATGAATAACCATTATATACAATATCAATTTTCTTCAAATCAAAAAAAAACCCAATTCATTAGCTGAAAGATGTGGTCTGAACTAAAGCAAATCACTGACCGCAAAAATACTGAAATAAGCAATGCCAACTTATGAGGGAAAATTTTATTTCATCAACAAATTTTATTTCAACCGGTTTACGCAGGAAAATACAAAGATTTCTAGCGCATAAAGCTAGAGACATCCACAAAAATCCTGAGTATTTTAATTGTTTAAATCCAAGTTCAGAAATCCACATTTACTTATCAATCATCAATTATTTGTTTGTTTGCCATGCGTCCATGAAATCGCTAAATTTTACCTTATGTTTAATTTATCAACATAAAAATGCAACATCTCAAAAAAAGAAACTGAGTAAATACGATGATGGTCGTAATGAAACAAACCAATTTGAACAGAGATTTAATAATTTTAATTAGATCGATACTGTCCTAAAGATTTTAGGTTTTAAACAAGTAAGGTTTCTGAAAGAAATTTTTATGCTGAAGAAAATTATAGTTCTTTAAATAAAATGTGTATTAAAGATAATTTTAATAAAAACATTTATTTTTCTGCTAGAAAATAATTTTGAATTATTTATATGCATAAAATTCGAGCAAAAATTTGAAAACCAAAGTAGTACAGTATGAAAATAAAATTCACCTAAAGAGAAAAGATAAGTTAAATAAGGAGTGATAATCGCCAAAAAAACCATAGAATGGGCGAAATGAAAAGAGATAGAACAAAATCCAACAATTTAATTTAATGACATTGTACTGTATTATTAAGTGAAAACCACAAACAAGCAAACAAATTTTTACAAATAACTGAAAAAACTTTTCAGAAGTTCAGAAAACATCATTTTCGGAATCGAGATAATACAACATTCACATCGATCGATGTCGTCAGGTTAACCTACTTACTTTCTTACCTTTAAGGCTTGTATAACATCCTCCATTGATGGATAGAAAACGTCATCAGCTTTTATCGACTTGCAAAAGTCACTTCTTCTGATGAAATTAAGTATATTATCTGCAAACAATGGAAAATTCATTCAATTTCCAATTTTTTCTGAAAGAGTTCAACATTTCTGATTAGATACTCCGCAATAGCGTGAAGGACCTTTGTCACTTAATGATAGAAATGCAGGTGATTCACTAATATCACGCAAAGTTTTTGAAAGATAGACTTATTCTTGCATAAAATAGAACTTCAGCATTGGCGTCCCGAAATGCCACATTCGTTCCAATTTATTTATTTTTTTCTAGTCTGATTAGAAAAAGAAGTTGCAAAAAGCACTAACTCTGAGCTCCAGCAAAATATAAATTGATTTTTTCCTTCTTTGCTGCTTGATAAACCTGGAATTTAGTCAGAAAATTTTAATTTTTCCCGAACCACAAATGGCAAGTGCCCTGGTAGATTCTATGAAATTTAAGAAGTAAAAACCACCTAAAAAGAAATCATTTTACCTCAAGTAAAGCATTGGATCCCATAACATCGATAAACGGAACTCCAGATACGTCTACAACAATGTCTTTTATTTCTTCATCTTGTCTTTTTTCAGAGGTTAATATCTTCTAAATTTTATTAAATGAACCGAAAAATCAAAAATTTATTTATAAACTATGCAGATATAACAAATATAAAAGTATATAAAGTATATATATATATGTATAAAGTATATATTAAAAATATATGAAAATATACAGCGAAATTTATAAATTTCACTATATATTTCACTGTGCCTCGAACTGCTTTGAAATAGCTTTGAAATCTGTACTTGTTCAGAATTCATATATAAATATCAACATTTAAGGCACTAAATTGTATAATTCTTATTTACAGGCACGCCTAAAAAAAACATTGACTAGTTTCTCCCAATCAGTACATGAAGACTTCAGAAAAAGTTTTTACATCGAATTAAAAATTTAGTTAACAGCTAAGGAACTGAAGCACTGTAGCACAAAATCATTTTTCTTAAGCCATTTAATGATTAATGACTAAGCTGTAAGTTTCGAAAAAATTCCATTTTATTGAAGAAAAATCCACTATCTAAAAGAAATTTCAAATTACGGATATATCCGGAACAACTGTTTTTTGTTCGTCAATTATCAAATCTAATTTGCTACGTTGTGTGGCATCAGATGGAGTACGCTTATGGGAGATTGCAGTGGTTTTTTTAAAAAAGTCTGCAGAAGGCCTGAAATGAAGAGCGATGTAAAATCCAAATTCTTAGAATATATGAATAATTCTTTTTCTTCCGAAACCCACATCATTAGTAAGAAAAACTTTCTTTTTTTAAAATTTCTACAGTCGACTTTTGAGTTCGCGCTAGAAAAAAACTTTTATGAATGAATATATCTATAAATAAATAACCTGAACTTATGTGGAAGAGTCTTTAGAAGTGATTCTTTAAAATTATTAACATTAAAAAACAAGATAGGGCCACAAAACTGCACACAGCATACACCGTCAATATGATGTGCATCACGATACGTATTTAATGGCCTATAATATACTAAACCTTGTGAGTGACTCATTCGACCAACTCTTGTTACTTCCAACCTGAAAAAGGAAAACATCTGAGCAGACTTCAGTGAGGAATTTAAATTGATTATATTTCCCAAGGAAATATGGATTAACAATTACTCTTTCGCTAATTCTGGAACCATGATCACTGTTTACGGATAAAATAATATAATATATTCTAGATTCAGCTCGAATTTGTATGAAATTTATATGAAATGAAATAAATTATTTCTCCATTTGTAAATAATAAATAATAAACTTGGATGTAAGACGCACCTTTGTAGACGATAAATAACCGTGACAAGAGCACATATTATGCCAATAGCTAATCCTTGAATAACTTCACAAAAAACCGTAGCGCCAAATGTTACTAGCCAAAGTGCCTCAAAATATGAAAAAGCGATCCCAAATGATTCAGTGCTTTTCGGTGATTTCCAATAAACAAATATAAACTTAAACTCACGAAATCAATTTTTGATTGAAGCCATAAAGTTTCGAGTTCTAAGAATTGTATAAATATGCCTTTTAAAGCGACGATGATGACAGAAGATAAAATGCACTGAAAATAAACAATCCCTTATGATATTCACAACTATTTTTTTTAAGCTCAATAGTTCCAGAAAGTCAAATAATTACCACTGGTAAAGCACGCATAAGCGGTCCGACCAAAAAAATCACTAACAATAGAAGCACAGATGAGAATATTGTTGCCAACTGCAAATGTTGTTAAACAATAATAAAATATTTCTTATTAATAGTACAACAACGTTTTTTAACAATAGAACAACCAAGAAATACAATTTTATAATCCTAAGTAATATTATTGCATGTACTTGTGTTTTTGTTCCTGCAGATTCATAGATGACAGAGCGGGCTAAGGCTGTAGCAGCTGGCCAGCACGGAAATAATGAAGAGCCACATTCTGTTAAACCCATAGCATAGAATTCCTGAATATAGCTACAATTTGAGAATTACATGTATCTTCCTTCATTTCCAAACATCTAATCCATTTTCTGTACCAATTATCACTATGCTATTATCCAAGGTATAAAATTTATCTAATAAGGTACATAATTTATATAACATATTCGAATTACCTGACGAATGTCAATAGCATAATTATTTTTTTTCGCAAATAATGAACCCATGGAAACACCAACAACAATGACAATAATGGATATTGCGAGAGCATCACTCCAAATATAAGGAAAGAGCGACAGTTTCGGCATGGCCGGAGAAGGAAGCCTACAATCTTCACCCTTTGAACTCAAAAAGTTTAGAAATAATAAGAAATAAAATATTGGCTATCTATAAAGCCAAAAATAAAGAAAAAAGATTAAACTTGCAAAATAAAAATAAATAAATTAATAAATTAATAAATAAATTAATCCATAAATAGGTGAAAAACGAACCCAATCGGTATGTTTCCCACCACTTGAACATTGTATGATGTTTCAAGTTGCAGAACTTTCGATATAATTAATCCAATAATCACCTGCAAGAATCTTAAGTTAAAAATATTTGCAACAACTATTTTGGGGCAATATCGTGAAGAATTAATGAGCTGCGTAATTTTCACAATTAGATAGAATTTTGTGTCACCACATGTAAATAAAAAAAACAATCAAACAATCAAAACTCTATAAACAAACAATTATCAGATCGAAGGGCACGGGTATTCTTGATACTTTTTTCAGTCGAACACTTAAATAATTTTTGCATACGTATAGAACAATGATATTAATCGTAGAGATTGTGATGGTTACCATGTTTGCGCTGGACAATTCTTCATACAAGTCGCGTATTACCTGAAATTAATGGTTTCTAACATGAAATGCTATGCTTCTTCTAATTAATATGTCACAAATGCTATTCCAACAATATTTACCATTTGCAATTTTGCAAACTCCAATAAGTATTGACATCAAATGCCCTTCATCAAAGAAGCACTTGAACGAGGTAAGTAAATAGATTGAGTAGGTTCCTCAAATCGAAATGAACAAAATTCTTATGGAGTATAATTGGAGAATAACATAGAAAGCGTAGCTTACTTTAAAAAGCTTGCCAAATCCGCTATGTCGTGAAAGTGGAACACCAATTAATTTATTTAACTGAGCAACGAAAACATGAACTGCGGCACCTGTCGTGAATCCTTTAATCACTTGATCTGACATATACTGAGTTAGAAAATCGAGTCTTAGCAAACCCATAACGATCTAAAATTTTAGATGAGAAGGTGTGAATTAATCGATAAGAACAATTTTCTTTGTATTCATCCATATATTAACTAAATTATCAACTAAATTAAAGGAAAATAAGGTATAAAAATAAAAAAATAAATAAATAACTACGATAAAACTTTTGCATAAAAAAGGCAAAATCTCGAAAAAGATTATTCTTGGTTTTGCAGATTTTAAGAATTTTTTTTGTGAAGCAGTGCTTCATGCATGATTCATCTGCATGATTCAATTTGCTTGTTTATACCACATTTTCTCTACTATTCTATGTTTGTATCATCAATTCAGCAGAGGTAAGTAACCTGTATCAAGCCGACACACAAGGTTAGCGCAGTTACCACTTCAATAGATTCAACGCCATAACGCAGTCCATCGACCAGTGTTGTTAAATTCTGAGTTATAGCGAACTGATTTATTTCTTCGGTCACCCTTATATTTGTGCTGCCGACCATAAGGCTTACAATAGCAAAGACACCTAAGAAACAATAAAAGACAGTAAAATTTAAAGACTTTTTTAATTTTTATTTATTTTTATCTAAATTTATCTAAATTTTATCTAAATTTAAAGATTCGCTTTTTTCTATTACCAGTTGCGAAAAAAAATTTAACCACCTAAGGTAGAGATAGATAGATCAGTCTCCTCAGCCGAGTTTTATTTTTACTCCTTTTAAGGAACGGAAATTGAATCCTATTTGAATAGCCTCGCCTTCAGACAAAGCACGTTATTCTCGATCGTTTTATCGGAACTTAAACACTTTTGCTGCTGCTTTTTCTAATTTCTAAGTTGAATTGAAGGAAAGGATGAATAATGAAGGATTTTTTGGAGAATTTGACAAAAAATATAATGAAGCACAGATTTGGTTTTTATAAGCATATTTTCTAAAAAGGATAGTTCTGAATGAAAGAAGAAAGATAAACCGAGCGAGATATGACGCGATGTTCCAAAAAACATATATATTAAAGGTGGAAAAAAGGATGTGTATAAACCATTAATGGGATCCAATCCAGCAAGTGACGCATAAGCCATACCTAAAAAAACGTCTTAAAACTTAAAATAACTGAACAAATCGCATTAAAGTTTTTTTATTGGTCAATAATTTCGAAACATTACTTCGGCCATCCATCCTTTTGCTCATTATATTAAAGTTAATTAACAACAGGCTTTATTCTTCATCTCATAAAAAATCAAAATTGCATGATAAAAATCGAATAGATAATGGCGTTAATGCGTTAAATAACAATTTTTCCGAGGTATTTAATATATTATTATTAAATTTGTAAATATTTTTCGAAATTTTTAAACCTTATTTTACTTTATTGAACCGACAAAAATGCTCCTAAGTGAAATATAATTACCTTGGGGAACATGCATAATACCAACGGTAAAACCACCGATTAAGTCATTTAATAGATATTCTCGAATTTTGTATTTTGGCAACCAATGTAGTATAGGAATGAATCCAAACAATATATTCAAGGCTGTCTTTAAAGAACATTTTCTTGAAAATCCTTTGTGCCAGATGCGATTCTTGTTACATGGTTGAGTGAATAAACCAAATTCTTCATCAAATATCATCTGAAAAATCGACCAATTCAAAATAATGAGAAAATTAATTTTGGGAAGTTTTTCCTTAAAATCAGATTTTATTCGCATTTCTTTAAGTTTTTAAATTGATGCATACCCTATGGTATGCGATGCTTTTTGTGCTAAGTGAAACGAACTAAGAGATCAGCAGATTCAATATTTTATCACTTATTTGTGATAATTACTGATAATAATAATAATAGTAACTAACAATGACCTGGTTTTTGGCAACTTTTTGGTAATAATTATCATCGACTGGTGATCGTCTAACTTCCACTTTATCATTATCGCTTCTAACTGACATTCTTCAGAAATACGAAAAAATAATTATTTAAGTGTTCCTGAAGATGCGAACCATATTGTTTAAAACACTAAGATCAACAAGCATTATAGAATTTGAGGAGACATGTTCTACTGAAAATAAAATTGAAGTATTATAAGCAATAATAATAAATTCGTAAACATATGTCAATAATTTCTATTGAAAATAAAGGGAAAATTTAGAAATTTCGATCAGAAATAAATCCTCTTCCCAATCTCCTTTCTTCGAATCGACGAACATTTTCTAAAATGCTCAACAGTAGAAAGCATTTCCAACCTACCTTTGAACCAAACGAATAACTGCGAATTTCGACCGAGCTAACCTCCAGGTCATTGGCAATGCAAATAAAGGTCATATAAAGCTAATCTATTGTGTTATATTTTATATTACAAAAGACCATTCATTTTCACACAATATATCGACAGAAATTGGTTCTCTTATTCCTTTATATTTTTCAATTAATCACTGAATATATGAATCAGTTGTTTAAATTCAATGGGAAGCACGAAAGCAAGTGAAAATTGTTAAAGTAAAAATTATTCTTTATAGTTTACATTAACGAAAATAAAGTAGAAATTTGGTGGAGTCACTGTACTTTTTGATGGGATCAGATGGAAATTAATAAAAAAATTGCCGCAAAAAGGTAAAAAGCCGATTGATAAGATGCAACTTTGTGCATCATAAAGCCAGTAAAACTAAAATAACAATCTCTTTCATATTACATCGAATTTTGTAAAATTTTAGTAAATTTGAAATTAATGGATATGTAGAGTGGATGCGTGTATGAAAAAATTCAATATTTTTGCAAAGAAATGGGCGATTGATTTTCGCTTCTGCAGTGTTCTTTTATTCAAAATTATTTTCGCTAAATCAATAAGAAATAGATAGAAATACCGTAAATGAAAGGAATAAGCAAAACAAGAGCTATCAATAATTTCATTTCAAATAATGAGCCGTTATTTTTTGTAATTTAAATGGATTTATAGATTGCTAAATTAATCCGAGAATTCCCAGAACTACTAAAACCAATGAAGATGGGCAGGAATCGAACAACCATCGCACTCGATCACTGAATTTAACTGCCACTAAAATTGAATTTCGGTGGTCATAAAAATCAGATGATAGAAGATTATAAAGGCAAACGATAAATTTACCACAAAATTGTATTCTATTACAATTAAAAAAAATAAAAAAAGATAAATGAATATATGAATGAATGGTTCATAAACATTGTTATCAGAAACCAACTGCTTTATTGATTACATTTGCAAACATTTGTTTTATAGATCATTAGAGTATAAAAACGAAGAAAAAAATATTCATTTTTAAAAATAGCCAACGATAGCAAACAAAGCTGGCAGTACTTCATTTCTCTTTCTCAGATCCCACACATTTATAAAAGTAAGGAAATAAGCATTTTTAGATTTCGAAAATAGTCTTCTAGCTAACATAAAGGATTTACGACAAAATTTTTATTCAAGAAGAATACGCTTCTTTACAAAATCGAATTAATTATAAAAAAAGAAAGTAAAGAATGAGAAAAAAGCAACTCAGAAAAAAGGAACATGGAGAAATAAATTTTAATATAGGAAGTAAAAAATAAATAATAAAAAGTATAAAATTTTTGTAAAGGAAACAAATATGAATAATATTAAGAAGATGAGAATAATGTAAGGATAAAGTATATAATTAATTAATAGGATTATGCGATATACAAATAGCTTCGTTTAATGGGTGTTATGGAGACGGAAATTATTTCAGATGCTAACTTATACCAGTAATATGTGGCATCAATTTTAATTAAGTTTTATAAATGCACTTGCGCAGCAATTATTACCACTTGTGCTATCATTATTTAAATAAAAATTAAATAAAAATTAACCTGCAACATATCAATAAAGTCAAATATTATGTCGTTTCATATATAAAAATCAGATCTTGCCTAATTCATCTTCTCAAAGAATCTAATTTAGACGTACGAGTTTTGAAATTATTAAACGATGAAAGCCCTCGATTAATCTATACTAATAAACTAGTAAAGAAACAAGTAGTATTATATTCTAATGTGGTTCGCAACATATTAATTAACTGACATAAAAAAGAAATGCCTTGAACATTCCTCAGATTTTTTTAACTTTTATTTCTTATATTTTTAATTTTTTTGAATTTATAAGTGCAAAATTAATTTTTCCATCATAATTTCAAGCATTTGCAGATTAAGGAATCAAATAATCGAGCAGTTATTGGTCAGATTATCGCCTCGAGAATAAATTCAGACCATCCTATCGAAAAGAGCAAACTTTGGCAGTGCCGACGATTCATTTGTCCTTCCATTCTCAAGAAATTCTGCACTCTGAAAAAAGTTTCAGGCAATCAATTGGCAACTAAAGGTGAGCCTAACCGAAAATGTTGAGCGTTAAAGACGATTCGCTTACCGATTTGCTGATTGATTTTAGAGAAATATATTTCTTCATTTCATAGAATATTTAATTAAATGAAATTTGGTGAATTAATTCATTGAAAAAAAACTTTGGAAGAAATCTCATGCATGAAAATTTACTTGCAAATACCATATGCTAAACATAAAATATATATATATTATATATATATTTAAAAATATAATAAAATATATATATATTTATTATATATATATATTTTGTTCTAAAATATATATATATTTTAGATATGTATATACTAATAAGTTACAATTCCTGATAGATATATATTTTATATATATATATATATATATAAATTTTTTCTTCTTTTTTAAGAATGCTCATCATTTTTGGTTGAATTCCGCTAGTTGTTGGACCAGAGAAATTAACTCGGCGATAGAATTGCTGGTGAGTCGCCAGCATCTTTTGATTACGAATTTTTGCCGACTGATCTTAGAGAAATTGCGGCGCTCCGAAATGAAAGCAACAATTCACTAAGCCATTCCATTTACCAGAAAAACATTATAGATGCAATATTTATACATATAATCAATTTATATCTTATTCTCATATAATGCAAGGAAGATGGAGAAATTTGACCCGATGGGAGATCTGGCAATTTCTTGCTGAATATTCATGAATTTTAAATCAAAATATGTGAATTTTTATGAAAAATATTCGTATTAAAATAAAGTAAAGGCATAAAAATTAGAACAGCTAATAAGTTACAATACCTGAAGAATTTATTGATTCAATCTAAATTGAAAATTTGGAAAAAAAATTTTAGCTGTATAAATTCAGCTGTATAAATTTTAAAATTCTAAGATTTATCGCTACTGAACCGCCCTATGGTTGTTTAAACACCATTTGATGAAACAATTAGAACCTTTCGAAAGATTTCGACAGCACTGAATATTCGAAAGGATAACAGTAATTTATTTGACATTAGATTGATAATTAATATTGATAGTTTTATTACTATTATACTATTATATATATTTTTTTAAGAGTCTTCACCATTACTGGTTAAACTCGCTCCTCAGGCTTGTGGCATTGGACAAATATGTCAGAGAGTCTCTCAGCGATAGAAGCACGGGTGGGTCACCACCATCACCCGGATTTTTGTACAGGTTCACTTCTGCGGAAAATGGAACCTCAGCGTCCGCGCTCCGAATTTAACAACAACCCATTCTACCCCCAACTATTATATTAAATTATTACTGTCATTTTTTGCTGTATTGGATAAAAGTTGAAATTGAAACACAAACGGAATAGTTGAATGCACAATTGGTTCACTACTTTTAATATTTTTGAACCAAATTACAATGAAGAATCAGTTAGAACAACCACAATGTGGATCGAACCAATTTAACCAAACCTAATTATTAATTATAATAATTATTAATTATAATAAAACTGTAAATAAAATAAAAAAATTAACAAAATATTATTTACTATTAAATATTATTTATTTATTAAATATTAAATATTATTAAATATTTTTTTATCGCACCTATTAATTGATTCTCTACAAAATACTAATAAACGATGCAATTATTATTATTTGATCTGTTGGAAATATTGGTAAATGGTATTAATACGCTAAAAAGAAAATTAACATGCGACTATTTAGTGAATTAAAAACATGACCCGAATTAAAAACAGCTGGAAAATCAATTACTCGAATGCAGTTTGTGAGGAGTTAATTTAGAAAATGTTCCATAGCATCTCTTCGAACATGCGACTGGTTAAAGAGTCCTAAAAATTCAAAAATTCAAAAAAAGAAAGATTATAAACTATAAACTGTATGATGCTATAAACTGTAATGATAGGAAGATAGGCGAATATTCAGGAAAATACGATTTGAACTATTTGCGAAGGAATCAAATAATTTTTTATTTCATTTTAACAAAGATTTTTAAAGATTTTAAGAAAAAAAAGTTCCAAAAAAATTGTATCGAATTAAAACAAATAAAAAGAATTAAAACAAATATTTTTTAAATTCCCTTGAACGTTAATAACAGCAAACTTATATAAACGAATCGAAGAAATAATGAAGAAATGCATAATTATCAATATTGCGGCATGATTTTTCGGAAAATGATATGATATTTCTAGGACAAAAAATGGAGCATTAGCGAAGCAGATAATGCATTCTAAAAAAATATGAAACTCAACTCAAAAATATGAAATATAAAAAGCACATGGAAACTGAAAACGACTTAAAATCGAAATTTTTTCTGTGGTGAAAATTTTCGGCGCAATTACACCAACTTCATCTAATAGTATTTAGAATAGTATTTACATTTTTTGTTTGTGTGATTCCATTGGTTGTCCATTTACAGGTAAAAAGTGGATACCCAGTATCAATCAGCTTTTGATTATAGTTCCATCAAAGTGAAGGAATCCCAAGGTGAAAAACTTAGTAAGAAATAGCATACCATTCGATCTTATTTGATGGAAATATCTAAGGAAATTTATGTCTATGTCTAATAAAAATTTTAGAAAAAATATATCTTAATGAATTTTTGATCACTCATGTTTAAGGGAGGGGTTTGCCGAGTGGACAAAATCCCACATAATCGCATCCACTTTCGTTCAAATACCACTTGCAGTACCATCACAGAGTATCGTCTTCGATGGTTAGGGCCGTTCTTCAGCGCCCAACACAAGAATTAAAACATATTTTGTTACTTATTAAACCCTGTGTCAAAAGCGAGGTGGGCCAATTAAGGACTGATAAGGTGAAGAACGTATAGGTAGACTATCAATATGTAGACTTAGAAGATGTGGACAAAAGAATAGCTTCTATTACTATCAACAGTGGCATCAGATCGCGCGGCTTGTGAACGTCTTACCCTTGTAGTTAATAGAGCCAGCTTAACCAATGGTGAGAACTATTAGAAAAAGAAGATCACATTAAAATTATACCGTTTATAAAACTGCATCAAGAAAAAGAAAAATAAAATTTTAAAAAAAATAAAGCAGAGAATTCTTTTTCTACTAAAAGCACTCATCTTATATACCGATTAGATTGAGATTCCGCCAGAAGGCAATCTGGGAAAATGTACAGGTAGTTCTCCAACAAAATCCGAGTTTTTTATGGTAAATTCATCCCCATCACGGACTCTCAGAGCGGAAAATTTGGGATGAAAAAATTGGATCTGAATA